GCCAATTCAGCTAGACTGGCTGTCCAGAAGCTCCAGGGTCCTCCTGTCTGCACCTAGCTAGCATTGGGGTTATAGGTCTGTGCTGTTACATGGAGACTGGGGACTAAATCAGGGCCTCATGCTTGTGTAGCAAGCCCTTTACTGGTTGAGCCATTTCCCCAGCTCTATTTTTTTTTTCTTTTTGAGACAGGGTTGGTCTCCCTATAGCCCTAGCTGGCCTAGAACTCATTATGTAGACCAGGCTGGCCTTGAACTCACAGAGATCTGCTTGCCTCTGCCTCCCAAGTGCTGGGATTAAAGGCATGTGCCACCCAGCTCTATTTTTAAAAAATTTATTGTGTAGGGGCTGGAGAGATGGCTCAGTGGTTAAGAGCACTGACTGCTCTTGCAGAGGACCTGGGTTCGATTCCCAGCACCCACATGGTGGCTATGAACCGTCCCTAATTCCAGTTCCGGGGAATCCGAAGCCCTCTTCTGACCTCCGCGGCATTGCAAGACATGGGTGCACTCACATATATGCAGGCAATACACCCGTACACATAAAATAAAAATAATAAAATATTAAAAAATATTATTATGTGTGTGCACACACATGTGGAAGTCAGAGGACAGAGCTTGGGAATCAGCTCCCTCCTGCTGTTTATTTTTTAGATACAGTCTCATATAGTCCATGATGACCTTGAATTGGATATGTAGGAGAACATGACTTTGAACTCCTGATCCCCCTGCCTCTATCCCCCCAAGTGCTTGGATTACAGATGCATGTCACCATGTGTAGTTTAAACCTAAACAAAATTAGGAATACATTCTAAAATAATGATAAATGTATATAACCCCACCGCTCAGGTACAGCTCAGGCCTTGTCTGTATCTTTATATGACTGACAATTCAGTAGGTTTGTCCACAACAGCACCACTGCAAACATGTGCATATGGAGTTGTGGTGTGGCAGCAGGAACTTTTCAGAACCATTATCATCGTATGGAACCTTACTGTGTCTGTGGTCTGTGGTTGACCAAAATATCCTGTGGATAGTGGCCTGTACAAATGCCATAGAAAGCATGCGCTGTCCGTGGTTCTTGACCCCTAACTTGGACTTTCATGCAGACTTGTGCACTGGTGCTCCTAAACTGCCTTGTGAATTCTGATACTCACTCTTCAGCTGATGGAGGGCTGTTGCAAGCACTGCAGTAGAGCCACCCACCAGCAGGTTTGCCTCTGTCTTTGCTTCTACAAGTTCAAAATATATGCATGAACTTGATGTCTGTATTAGATTTTATCCTTGCAACTGAGTTATCCAGTGAAAAATGGGAAAGTGAAAACATTGATAGAGTAATGTGGAGAGTCACTGGGTCTTCTAAATTTCACCTCATTTGGGTACAGATGGAAGTGTCTGAACTGGATATGGCACACACCCAGCTGTTGTCTTCATCAGGTGACTATGTGTTCAACTCCGAAAGAGGCAGAAAAACAGAGAGAGCACAGTTCAAAGCCAGGCACGGTGGTGTACTCCTGTAATCCTAGCATCCAGGAGGTGGAGGCAGGAGGACCAGGAACTCAAGGTCATCTTCAGATACTTAGCAAGTTTGAGGCCAGCTTGGGCTACAGGAGATCCTACGTGAACAACGAAACAAAACAGACTCCAGTAATGTTATTGTTTGGGAAACTCAAGGAGTCACTTGTGAGAGTTGATAGGTACACTCTTTGTCTATGACAAAGTACTAGAAACAACTTGAAACCTCACACAATGGAGTATTACAGTGATATGAGAGTAAATAAACTACGTCTATGTATAAATGAATTGTGGAAACAGGTGAATAAAAATAGCATGTTACGCCGGGCATGGACTCCTGTAATCCCAGCACTAGAGAGGCAGAGGCAGGTGGATGCATGTGAGTTCAAGGCCATCCTGGTCTACATAGTGAGTTCCAGGACAGCTGGAGCTACAGGGAGACCCTGTCTCAAAAAAAAAATAAATAAATAAAAATAAAAATAGCATATTACAGAAAATACATAGAAACCATTTTATGAAGCTCTAGGTCCAAGTAAAGCTAGGGAAGACTGAGGGACCATGGGCAGCCAACCAATTTTAAAAGGAAGAGAGAGGGCTGACAAGATGGCTCAGCAGGTAAAGGTACTTGCTGTGAAGTCTGATGATCTGAGTTTGATCCCCAGGCCCCACATGGTAGAAGGAGAGACTCTACTTCCACAAGTTGTCTTCTGATTTCCACACACATGCCATGGCAATGCACACCCCCCACAATAAATAAATAGATAAATAGATAGATAGATGATAGATAGATAGATAGATAGATAGATAGATAGATAGATAGATAGATAGGTAGATAGATAGATGATAAAATAGAAATGTTTAAAGTAAGGGAGGATAAGCCCGCAACTGTGAAATGCATAGATCAGAAGGTTATAAGTTGGGGGAGCCCAAAATGACATTCAGAAGTAACAAGTGTGCTTGTAGAGTTCAGTAGAAGCTTCTAGGTATTTTATGCTTTGTAACTTTTAGGAATACTGCATAGATTAATTTGCATGTGTTCAATAGTGTATAATATAGTTGAGAAACAATGAAGTGCTAGAAATATGTCATTGAAACTTATTACAAAAGCTTGCAAAAATTAGGACTTTTTGAGGCCCTTGGAAGCCTTCCTCTTACTTGAGTTTCTAGGGCTCTGAAATCACTGCCACACAGGTCAGTGCTATGTGCAATGGCAAGTGCATTTCTCAGAAGTGGGGCTCTCTGGTGCCTAAGTCTAGCCACCTCACCGTGTTGTGGCCTCCTTAGATGTTGGCTGACAGATGGAGGACCTTTCTTATCCACTGTGGCCTAGAGGGGTCTAAGGAACTTCTTTAAATCTACCTAGATATATGACCACTGCTGGGGTTTTTTTTTTTTTTTTTTTTTTTTTTTTTTTTTTTTTCACCCAAACGTCCAGGGCTCTGGAGGGAGGAAAAAGGGTGGCTGCCACTCAGGCCTGACATTTATCCTACCATCCTCAGACTAGAGGATGTCAGGATGGATCCTGACTCCAAGCGGTAAAGTGAGAAGGCAGCTCGAAGGCCACCAGTACGGGCAGGCTGGGCCCAATGCCAGGCAGAAGCTTTGTTTCTTTCATGCCTGTGTCTGAACATGGCCAATGGCTGCTGGGGACAGCGAGACTGCCTTGGCTTAAGAGTTGTAGCCTATTTGCAAATCACTGACCCCTTCTTCCCTCCTCTCTGATAGCCTTCTAGGATGGGATGGGAGAAAGGATGGGCTGCCAGGCACCAGATGAAAACTCCTTCCAATCAACGAGGATTTGCAGGTCAAAGAGAAACTCTTATGCTGAGCTTATCCCAGTCCCAGAAACACAGGCAACATGAGGTCAGGCACTCTGGTGGCTGCTCACCTTTCTGAATCTTTGGCCAGATGTATTGCTGATATGAGAAGAGCCATGTATTCGTAACATGAAAACTGGCTGTGTTTCCTAGCCTACATTTGCTCAGCCAGTGGAATTAATTTTATTGATTGGTCCAGGGCAGTTCAGCTAATTTTTATCTTGGATTCTGTGAATCTATAACGTGTACTAAGAAAAAAGTACATTTGTCCCTCTAATCTTTGTGTTTGTTTTGAAACTCCCAGATCACGCTGGCCTTTGGTGCTCTTCCTGCCTCAGCCTCCCAATGTGGGGATTGTGTCACCATGCTTGACTTGATGTTCCTCGAATCTTTAATCTCTTTTTCCTTGAGTGTAACACACACATTTTTTTTTTCAGGAGATGAGGAATGTGTTTGTTCATTTTTATTTGCCAATTTGGTCCCTAGAATGAAAACAACTCTGCCCGGATGTTTACAAGGTAGGGGTAGAGTACCGGAGCGAGCAGAGATTCGGGGCTATGGCCCTCTTCTCAGCGGAGCAGCTGTCCTGCCAGTGGGGATCAGCACACCTCCTGATTTTTCTGTGGTGGTTACTGTCTATAAAATGGGCTCATACAGATCCTGTGACTCGGAACCCTTGGGCACTTGTGTGTGCTGGGGTCCCACTTGGGAACCTGCCATCCATTCCTAGGTGAATTCATTTATTCACTCATGCATTTGTCAGTTAAGAAGGGGCATTTTAGACCGTGGACTAACACAGGATGCCTGTGATTGTGCTGTCTGGAGCCTCTCTTTCTCTCTCTCTCTCTCTCTCTCTCTCTCTCTCTCCCTCCCTCCCTCCCTCCCTCTCAAAGTTTTTCCTTTCCTTTTATTTATTTGTTTGCTCGTTTTTAAGACAGTCTCTCTATGTAGCCCTGGCTGGCCTGAAACTCACCATATAGACCCGGTTGGCCCTGAACTCATAGAGATCTGCTCGCCTCTGTCTCCTGAGTGTTGGGTCTAAAGATGTGTGCCATCGTACTAGACTATTTGGCCTACTTAATTTTAAAATGTTTATTTATTATCATTACTGGGTGTGTATGTGGTGTATGTGTGCAGGCATGCCCACAGCGCACAAGTGGAGGTCAGAAGACAACTTTAGGAGTCAGTTCTCCTCTACATAGTTTCCAGACATTGAACTCAGGTCCTTAGACTTGCCTGATGAGCCATCTTGCTGGCTCTGTGCCTGGAACCTTAAGAGAAAGATAGCCTTGGGCTTCGAAGCTGTGGCAGCACTGTGAAAAGGTGGCACTAAGTTGGAGGACAGAGAACACCTCTGAGGAAAGGATGCTGGGACTGGGACCTGGCAGTACTATTCTGTTGTGGGGATGGCATGAGAGAAAGGAAAGGCATATGCCACCACACCTAGCCCTGAAAGGGTTTTATAATCAAGGATTGGGGTGGCTAGACTGTGGCTTGTGAAGGTGCACCCCAGCAGACAGTGGGGTCGTCTGGGGAGGCATCTGGAGGCCAGGCAAATGTAATGTGGGCTGGACCATGGGAGGGCTCCAAGGTTTAGATGCCTCTTATGGCTTTTCCATTTCAGAAGTGAAGTCCCATTTTCAAGTTGCTGTTGCTTTTCTCTTCCTACAGAGGTGGCAAATGATACGGTGGCGAGTCTGCCGGGGGCCACTGTCACCCTGACCTGCCCAGGGATGGAACCAGAAAACAATACCACTGTTTACTGGGTGCACAATGGCTCAAACCTCAGAAGATGGGCTAGTGTGGGAAGAAATCTACTTCTGAGATTGGTGCAGCCCAGCGACTCCGGGAACTATTCATGCTACGTGGATGGCCAGCAAGCTGGGACTGTGCGCTTGCTGGTAGATGGTGAGTTGTGTCCCCGGAGCCCTCTGGGAGCCACCTCCAATGTTCATAAGAAATGTGCCTCTGTGTATTCCAGAAAGATTCTCTGTTTGGTCCTTGAAGTTTGTTATGTCTTTGGTCCAAGTATTTTGGGAAAAGGCCACTGGTCTTTTGTGGAGAAAATGCCTGTGAGGTGGGGATATCTGGCTGGTAGTGGAAGTTGTCTAGCTTAGTGATAGGTTTGATAGCAGGGACTCACAGCCAGGCAGGCTGGGGTAAAATCTGCCCTGCCCCTCAGATTCCTACTGCAAAATAAAGCTAACTTTATTATCTTTCCTTAGAGTGTTACAAAGATGAAATGAGTGCACACACGCACACATGAATGCATGCATGTACACAGGCACATGCACATAGGCACATGCATGCACACATGCTCACAAGGACTGAAAACTCTGCACAGCCCACATGGAGTTCTCAGATGAGCCCCTCTTAGAACTAGTGTGTTGAGGCCAGGCATGGTGGTACATGCCTTTAATTCCAGTACTCGGGAGGCAGATGCAGGCGGATCTCTGTGAGTTCAAGGCCAGCCTGGTCTACATAGTGAGTTCCAGGACAGCTGGGGCTACAGGGAGACCCTGTCTCAAAAAGACAGAAAACAAAAACAAAACAAAAAAAAAACCATGGGTCAAAATTCCCTCGGATCTGGATGCAGACTTCGTGGGACCCATGCCCCGTGTGCAAGCCCTACTTACTGCTGCCTTCCCTGCACCTACTGATATCCTTCCAATGACCATGGGAAGGAAGGCAGTGTTTTTGTTATTATGTCATCATCAGCTAATTCTACAGGTGAGAAAACCAAAAAGATACTGGGACCTGCTCATGGTCACACAGCCAGGTGTGTGTGTGGCCAAAGGCCCTATTTTGGGTTGTCCTTTCACCCCTTAAACAGAATGTTTAAAGGTGATGCCTTGTCTCCTTGCTCAGCATCATCATGCCATCATGGCCTGGGGACTTGGGTCATGTGCTCCCTACAGAGGGCAGAGTGATGTGCAGGGCCGGCGTGTTGGGCAGCCTGCACCTCCTCAGCCTGTCACTGTGCTCTCCTTTCAGTTCCTCCAGAGAAACCCAATCTCCACTGCTTCCGGAAGAATCCACTCATGAACGTTGTTTGTGAGTGGCGTCCTCATCACAAACCCTCTGAAACGACCAAGGCTGTGCTGAATGTGAAGAAGCTGTAAGTGGCTGGGTGGGGCTGTGTGTTTAGTCTGTGTGCATGGGAGCCCCAGAGTTGTAGGGCCTCAAAGTACCTCTGCTGGAAGGACTGGGCAGGGACCGAAAGTTGACCAATAGATACTGGGACCTGCTCATGGTCACACAGCCAGGTGTGTGTGAGGCCCTGGTTTGGCTTTGATCACCAGTTACCTACCTACTCCAAATTAAATTAATTAATTAATTAATTTATTTATTTATTTATTGTCTTTTTGAGACAGGGTCTCCCTTTAGCCCCAGCTGTCCTGGATGGAACTCACTATGGAGACCAGGCTGGCCTCGAACTCACAGAGATCCGCCTGCCTCTGCCTCCCAAGTGCTGGGATTAAAGTCTGTGCCACCACGCCCAGCTCCAAATTGAATTTTAAAAGTTCCTTTGGAATAATGGAACTGAGCCCTATTCTGGGCATGATGCTTGGAGCTATTAACTCAATTTAGCTATTCCAACAGCTATGGGAAATGGGTGTTGTTTTCCTCACTTAAGAGGAGCTGAAGTTCAGAGAGATTGATTAATTTGCTCAAGGTCATCTAACTAGTAAGTGATTCTAAGTAGTTAGGAAGTGAACCAATTCCAACGTGGGCTGCCCCATGATTCAGGTCCAAAGGTTTTGGGTATTTCACTGAAAAAGATGCAAATGGCCTGTGGTCAGGGAAGCTGTTAACAGTGCCTTGCTCCTGTGAGCATTATAAAGTCAGACAACAGGGAGTGGTCCTGAGGGGAGGGGAACTGAGGTCCTGACTGCCTGGGGTCCCTGCTCTGTTACTAGAATATGGCATGAAGTAGGGACCAATGGCTTCAGTCAGTGTGTGTGTGTGTGTGTGTGTGTGTGTGTGTGTGTGTGTGTGTGTTTACCCAAGGAGGCTAGAAGAAAGGCCCTCTACAGCTGGAGTTCCAGGTAGCCTGCTGTCTGACATGGGTGCTAGAAACCAAATGCAGGTCCTCTGGAAGAGCAGTGCGTGCTCTTAACTCCTGAGCCATCTCTCCAGCCCTTCTGCATCCTTTGGAGTACCAAGAACCGGTAGGCCCAGACAGGAAGTGAGAGCTCAGCACACAGTGCTGTCTGGATAAGAGGCTGAACTTTTTCCTCCAGCCCCTCCCCCATTGACTGGGTGTCCTGCCAGAGGGCTTTTTGCAGAATCTGTGTCAGGTCAGATAGGTATTCATACTACTAGAATTCCCATTTTCAAATGAGAACAGACACTCAGGATGAATACTTTGCTCAAAGCTACAAAAGCAAATAAGAGCAGATGATCTGGGGCTGAATTGAAGTCCTGAAAGGAGATGTCAGTGCCCAGACTTCAAACTCCCATCTTCTTTTCCCTCTAAAAGAACAGAAGCTGCTAGAGTGTTCTTGCCCTTCTTTTGTTGTGTCCCACAGCAAGCTCAGTTTCACGACTGAGTTCCAGGTGCCCTGCCAGTATTCTCAGGAGTTCCAAAACTTCTCCTGCCAGGTGGCAATCCTAGAGGACAATAATGCTTTCTACGTAGTGACCCTATGCGTGGCCAACAGTGTCGGAAGCAAGTCCAGCAATGATGTGTCATTCGAGGCCATAAGAATAGGTAAGCAGGCCCAACTCCACAGCAACTTCTCTCTTATCTACTTCTGAGAGCGGCAGGGAAAGGGTAGTGGTGAGGGCTTGGGAGCTGGGCCTTTTGGGACCGAACTGATGAATGGATGGGGGTCTTAGGATGTGTATCAGGGGCTGAGAGGTAATCCAATAGTCAAATACTTGCCTAGCATGTGCAAGGTCTTGGATTCCATCCCCAGCACTAAAATAAAATGAATAAATGAATTAATTAAAAATTTTTTTGTTTTTTGAGACAGGGTCTCCCTGTAGCCCCAGCTGGCCTGGAACTCACTGTGTAGACCAGGCTGGCTTTGAACTCACACAGATCTGCCTGCCTCTGCCTCCCGAGTGCTGGGATTAAAGGTGTGTGCTACCATGCCAGGCTAATTAAATAAATTTTAAAAAATTTCTGGGGAGTGATGCGACTCTGATTGTGTATGGGTGTCCACAGAGCCTTCTTGGGCAGCTCTCCTGTGTGATGTTTGCTGTTGCATTATACAGAAACCCTACTCCCTCTCCACAGTGCAGCCTGACCCACCTGTCAACCTTGTGGTCACAGCCATGCCGGGAAACCCTCACTGGCTCAATGTCAGCTGGCAAGACCCTGAGTCCTGGGACCCATATTACTACCTGCTACAGTATGAGGTTCGATACCGGCCAGAATGGTCAAAGACATCCACAGTGTGGTTGGTAATTCATCTCTATTACTTCTTTGTTTTGTTTTGTTGAGATAAGGTCTCATTCTGTAGCCCAGACTGGCTTCCAACTCATGGCAGTCTTCCTGCCTTATGCCTCTTAAGTTCCTGGGTGCTGAGATTATAGGAGTGAGCCTCCAGGCCTGGCTCAAATCTATTTCTAAATAGAAAAACCCCTCTAGACACTTGGGTTCCCCCAAGTGGCAGATGCTAGAAAGGAAGAAGTGGGTTCTAGGTCCTGCTTTGTACCTTTCTCCCTTGGATGAGTCATTTAATGTTAGAAGCTTTGGCTGTGTCTTTATAAAATGAGACCAATAATGCCAGGCCAGCCTCCCTCTAACTGTTCTACTTAAGAGAATGAGAGCACAGAGGAGAGCTGGGCTCCATGCACAACAAGGACTGTGGCTTGCAGAGTTCTGTAGCCCATGGGGTGGGTCTGTGACTTCAGCTTGTGTAGCCCAGAATAACTCCATGTCACTCTCAAGCCTCTCTGCTGGCTAGAGAGCTGGGTGGTCAAGGGTGTCCTCTCCCTGTGGCATTGCCCCACAGGGACCACTGGGAGTCATCATGTCTCCATTCTCAGATCAAGAACCTCGAGAAGAAACCCAAGAAGACCTATCATCACTGCATCATCCAGGATGCCTTGAGAGGCATGAAACACGTGGTGCAGATCCGGGGAAAGGAGGAGTTTGGGATTGGCAAGTGGAGCGAGTGGACCCCGGAGGTCACGTGTACTCCTTGGATAGGTACCTGGGTCCATGTGGAGGGAGGGCAGGACATCTCAGCCTTGTTGGTGTGTCAGCAGTCTAGTAGTATGTGGAAAGCCATCCCAAACCTATATAACCTACATCTAACATTTATCCTTCCTCCCTTCCTTCCCTCCCTCCCTTCCTTCCTTCCTTCCTCCCTCCCTCCCTTCCTTCCTTTCTTCCTTCCTTCCTTTTTTCTTTCTCTCTCTTTGTCTCTTTTTTTCATATATATGCATATATTTTTGCTTTTCTTTATATATATTGGTCTTTTTGAGACAGGGTCTCCCTGTAGCCCCAGCTGTCCTGGAACTCACTATGTAGACCAGGCTGGCCTTGAACTCACAGAGATCCACCTGCCTCTGCCTCCTGAGTGCTGGCATTAAAGGCATGCACCACCACACCCGGCTCTTTTAATAAATATTTTATTGATTTTTTGTGCATTTTATATGTCTTAATCATATTTAGGCCCCCTCCTCTATCTGCAACCCCCATAGCCTACCCACAGGATTTCATGCATTTTGTCATATATGTTAAGGGCTATCGAGTCAAGTTTATGTCCCCAGATGTCCCTCAGTGTGAGTTCATCCACTGGAGTCTGGACAACCTATGTAGCATCACACCCTTAAAGAAGACCAACTTTGCCTCACCCAGTAGTGATCAGCTGCCAACCGTTCCTCGGCAAAGGTTGGAATCTCCCGCTCATTTCCCCAGTTCTGTGCCGGATTTTTGTCTGGCCTGAGTTTGCAGGGGTCTTGTACATGCTGTCAACATTGCTGTAAGTTCATATGAACAAGTTCCCAGAAGCCTGAAAAACTGTTTCCTTGTGGTCGTCCACCACCCCTGACTCTTACAATCTTTCCCCCTTTTCTGCAATGGTTCCTGAGTTCCGGGTGGGTGAGGTATAATATAGGTGCCCTGTCCAGGGACACGAACTCTGCAGTCTCTTACTCTCTACAGTTTGGTTGGCTGTGGCCTTCTGTGTTCATTGCTTTCTGTTGCGTGAGGAATCTTCCTGGTGAGCTGAGAGATGCATTAGTATTTCTCCACTCCTTGTTCCACTATGTTCTGTGAGCCTTAAGTATAGAGGTTCCACTGTCGATGTGTCACTTAGGGATGGGCATCTCACAGACATTTACTCTCTATGTTTGATCCATTGTGCAACTCTGTTTTTTTGAGACAGGGGTCTCACTATGTAGCTCTGGCTGGCCTGGAACTGAATTTGTAGACCAGGTTGGACTTGAATTTACAGAGCTCTGCCTACTTCTGCCTCTTGAGTATTGGGATTAAAGGTGTGCACCTTCATACCTGGCCTATTTATTTATATTTTAAAATATTTGTTTATTTATTGTATTTAATTTTGAGACAGGGTCTCACTATATAGTCCTGGCTGGCTTGGAACTCCTTATGTAGACCAGACTGGCCTCGAACTCACAGAGATCCTCCTGTGTCTGCCTCCCAAGTGCTAGCTAGAATTAAAGGTGTGCACCACCATACTCAGACTTATTTTTATTTATGTATGTGTGTGTGTGTGTGTATCTGTGTGAGTGTCTGCCACATGTGTGCAGGTATCCATGGAAGTCAGAAAATGTCAGGTTCCCTGGAACTGGAGTTACATGCAGTTGTCAGCCAGTGTATGGGTGCTGGGAACAGAACCTGGTTCCTCTGGAAGAGCATCAAGTGTTCTTAACCACTGGGCAATCTCTTCAAGCCTTTCCTTCCTTCTTCCTTCCTTTCCTCCTTCCTTCCTTCCTTCGTTCCTCCCTTCTTCCTTCCTTCCTTTCCTCCTTCCTTCCTTCTTCCTTCCTTCCTTCCCTCCTTCCTTCCTCCTTCCTTCCTCCTTCCTTCCTTCCTTTCCTCCTTCCTTCCTTTCCTCCTTCCCCCTCCCTCTTTCTCTTTCTCTCTCTTTCCTTTCTTTCTTCATTTTATTTCATTTTTTTTTCATTTGAGATAGGGCCTCATGTAGTTCAGGTAGGCCTAGAACTTATATGTAGTCAAAGATGACCTTATATTTCTGGTTTCCCCACCTCTGCCTTCCAAGTGCTGGGATTATAGATGTGTGCCACCACATCTAGCTCCGTTTGCTCAAGTTTCTGAAGATAAATAGGCTTGCAGCTTGCTTGCTGGTCTTCCTGCGTCATTACCATAGCAGTGGGGCCCAGCATCCCCAGCATTCTTACTATAAGATCTTTTCCAGGCTCACTTTGGGGTCAGATCTCCCTAATCCTGTTGCACAGCTGAACCAATATAATCATTCTTAAGTCCTTGTCCAACATAAAGAATAAGATGTTTATTTACTGGATGCCTGTGTGTTAAAAAGGAGAAGAGATGATATTGCTTGGTCCTATTCCCACCCTTGCCACTTTCTCCCTGCCCTGACCCCAGAGACAGGGTTGTGCCCTGTCCCTGCCCCACACTGGGTGGCACACTGGAGAACATTACTCCTCTGTGGCTTTGTACTGTGGAGTCTTGTTCTTTCCTGTCTTGGAGGACCACGAGGAATAGGCTGGGGCATCAGGTGCCATCCTTGGTGGATGTGACTGTCGCCAGAGCTAGCCTCAGCTCTCTGTGGTGCCTACCTTTCTTCTGTGCCTGAAGAGCTGGAGGAAGCTTTCTGGATGGACCCTCTTTCTTCTCTCAACCATCCTGCTATGGCCTGGATTAGAAGCACTTAATTGCTAGATGTTATATGGAAATTTTTCTTTTTTGTCTTTTTGAGACAGGGTGTCCCGGAAACTCCAACTGGCATGGAACTGGTTATGTGGACTAGGCTGGCCTTGATCTCAGAGAGTCCTGCCTCTGCCTCCTGAGTGCTGGGATTAAAGATGTATGGCACCATGGCCGGGTTTAGGAAACCATTTGTTTTTTAATAAGATTTTGGATTAATTCTTTGAGAACTTCATAAAATTTACCCCCTCCCCATCTCTTCCCAAATCCACTCCCACCTCCCTACCTGCCCAACTTTGCATCCCTTTTTAAAAGCCTATCAAGTCCAATTTGTGTTGCCTAAATACTCTTGGGTGTGGGTCCACTTCCTGGAGCATGTTTGACCTACCTAGGAGGGGTCACACCCTTGAAGTAACCTGAGGTCCCTCTCCCAGCAGCTATCAGTTGCCAAGAGCTCCTCAGCTAGGGGTGGGACTTCGTGTCCCCTTCCCCTTCCATGATGGGATTTTTGTCTGGCTTGACCTTGCACAGGTCTTGGTGCATGATGTCACAACTGCTGTGAGTTTATATGTATCAGTCAGAGCTAGACTGTATTAACGTGTCCATCAGGTATGTGTGTGCACTTTGAGACCTGACACATCCCTTATGTGAATACTGAGCACAGTATAGCCTTGGTGGCCAACATCTGTTGTTGTGACCAACATCTGTTTTACCTTCTGTCCCCACAACTTCCTTCCCTCCCTCCCTCCCTTCTTCCTTCCTTTTATTTATTTAATTTATTGTTTTTATTTTATGTGTATGAGGGTATTGCCTGCATACATGTAAGTGCACCCGAGTCCTGCAGTGCCTGTAGAGGTCAGAAGACAGCACTGGATTCCCCTGGAACTGGAGTTACAGATGGTTGTTAGCTGCCATGTGGGTGCTGGGAATCAAACCTGGGTCCTCTGCAAGAACAGCCAGTACTCTTAGCCTCAGAGCCATCTCTCCAGCCCTGCTTCCTTTTTTCTTTTGAGGCAGGATCTTATGTAACCCAGCTTGGCCTTGAATTCACTATGAAGTCAAGGATGATCTTGAACTTCTGATCCTTCTGCTTCCCCATCCAAGTGCTGGGATTATAGGAGAATGCATATTGAACCCAGGGCCTTCTGCATACTAGGCGAGGACTCTACCATCTAAGTTATGTCTCCAGTCCCCAGCAACTTACTTTAGATAGTCATAGGCAGCTATAAGAAATCTTATTTAGGACTAGAGAGATGACTCTGAGGTTAAGATCACTGGCTGCTCTTGCAGAAGACCTGGATTCAAATTCCAGCACATGGCGACTAACAACTGTCTATAACTCCAGTTTCAGGGGATCCAATGCCCTCTCTGTCCTCTATAAACACTGTACAACACAGGTGTACTTACATACATGCATGCATAGCACTCATACACATAAAATAAATAAATCAAAAAATGAAAATGAAAGAAATCCCATTTGGAATTAGAGTGATGACTCAGCCATTGAGAGCACTTGCTGCTCTTCCAGAGGACTGAGTTCAGTTCCTACTATCCATGTTCAGTAGCTAACAACCATCTATAACTCCAATTCCCTTGCCTGTCCTCTGCAGACACCTACACACATATGGTACACACATGCACACACACACACACACACACACATTTTTCTTTACAAAAAAAGAAATCCTCTTGTTAGAATACACTTTCCCCCCATTTTCTGTCTTTGGTGTGCTAGGGATAGAACCTAGGGCTTTACATACCCTAAGAACGTGAGTACACACAGTCTGCCACTGGGGTACCTTCTTAGCCCAGTCCAAAAAATAGCTTCTTAAAAATTTTTTTTGGGCCAGGTGTGGCAGCATATGCCTTTAATCCCAGCACTCAGAGGCAGAAGCAGATGAATTTCTGTGAGATTGAGGCTAGCCTGGTCTACATACTGAGTTCCAGGCCAGACAGGGCTACATAGTGAAAACAAACAAACAAAACAAAATAAAATTGGTTTTGATTATGCTATAATGTGCATGATTTAACATTCACTTATAAAATTCTGGGTGGGGGAGGAGGTTGACCTTGAATTCTAGATCTTACATCAACCTCCTGAGTGCTGGGAACAGGCATGTACCAACACAGTTGGCTATTATGACCATTTTTGCTTGTTTTGTTTTGTGTATGTACATGTGTATGCCAGTGTGTGGGAGCTGGAGATCAGCACTAGGTGTTCCGTCCCCTTGTTTGTATTCTTTTGACAGAGTCTCTCCTAGTCACTATGTGGATCAGGCTAGCCTCGCTCTCACAAGGTCTCTAATTGACCTGGTATTTGCTAAGTGGCTTAG